TCCCATCCCCATTTAGCCCCATAGAAATCACCCTATTTCCCCCATACAGCCCCAAAAGGGTCCAATCCCCATCCAGCCCCATAGAGATCCTCCTGTCCCACAGAACCCCATAGAGATCCTCCTGTCCCCATATGGCCCCATAGAGATCCCTTTGTCCCCATACAGCCCCACAGGGGTCCCCTTGATCCTATGTGACCCCAAGAGGGTCCCCTATCCCTTTACAGCCCCAGAGAGGTCTCCCTGTCCCTATATGGCCCCAAAAGGGTCCCCTGTACCCATACAGCCCCATAGAGATCCAGCTGTCCCCATACAGCCCCACAGGGGTCCCCCTGACCCCATACAGCCCCAGAGGGGTCCCACTGTCCCCAGAGGGGTCCCACTGTCCCCATATGTCCCCAAAAGGGTCCCCTGTCCCTATACAGCCCCATAGAGATTCTCTTGACCCCATACAGCCCCACAGGGGTCCCCCTGACCCCATATGGCCCCAAGAGGGTCCCCTGTCCCCATGTGACCCTATAGATATTCAGCAGTCCCCCCATACAGCCCCAGAGGGATCCCCTTGATCCTATGTGACCCCAAGAGGGGTCCCATAGCCCTTTACAGCCCCACAGGGATCCCTTTGTCCCTATATGGCCCCAGAGAGGTCCCCTGTCCCTATACAGCCCCATAGAGAACCCCTTGTCCCCATACAGCCCCAGAAGGGTCCCACGGTCCCCATACGGCCCCAAAAGGGTCCCCTGTCCCTTTACAGCCCTATAGAGATCCTCTTGTCCCTATACAGCCCCACAGGGGTCCCCTGTCCCTATATGGCCCCAAGAGGGTCCCCTGTACCCATATGGCCCCATAGAGCTCCAGCTGTCCCCATACAGCCCCAGAGGGATCCCCTTGTTCCTATGTGACCCCAAGAGGGGTCCCATAGCCCTTTACAGCCCCACAGGGATCCCTTTGTCCCTATATGGCCCCAGAGAGGTCTCCTGTTCCCATACAGCCCCATAGAGATCCAGCTGTCCCCATACAGCCCCAGAGGGATCCCCTTGTTCCTATGTGACCCCAAGAGGGTCCCCGAACCCTTTACAGCCAGAAAGGGATCCCTTTGTCCCTATACGGCCCCAGAGAGGTCCCCTGTCCCTATACAGCCCCAGAGGGGTCCCCCTGCCCCCACATGGCCCCAGGAGGGTCCCCTGTCCCCATGTGACCCCATACTCAGCAGTCCCCCCACACAGCCCCAGAGGGGTCCCTTGTCCCCACACAACCCCAATGAGANNNCCCCCCCCCCCCATAGACCCCCCCCCCCCCCACCTGAGGAACTCCAGGTCGTCCCAGCCGTTGTGCAGCAGCCCCTCCTCGTACCTCTCCAGCCCCAAACCCCGCAGCCATTCCCCCACGTTGGACTCGCTGACGCCAGCGCCGCGGCCCGCCTGGCACAGCGCCTGCAGCAGGGTTGGGGGGGGGAGGAAAGGGGAGGGGGCTCAGTGCTGGGGGGTCCCACAGCGGTACTGGGTTGCCCTGCCCCATCCTCATCTCCTTTCCGCATCCCAAACCCCTTCCACCACCTCCATGCCCGACTCCGAGATCTTTCTCCCATCCCATCCCCAACGCCATCTCCGCCCCATCCCCATCTAATCTCATCCCATTCCCATCCCATCCCATCCCATCCCCATCCCCACCTCCATCCCCATCCCATCCCATCCCATCCCATCCCATCCCTGTCCCCAACTCCATCCCCATCCCCATCCCATCTCATTCCATCCCATCCCATCCCATCCTTGTCCCCAACTCCATCCCCATCCCATCTCCATCCAATCTCATCTCATCCCATTCCCATCCCATCTCATCCCATCCTTGTCCCCAACTCCATCCCCATCCCATCTCATCCCATCCCCATTCCAGCCCCAACTCTATTCCCATCCCATCCCATTCCTATCCCATCCCGTCCCCATCCCCAACACCATCTCCGCCCCATCCCCATCCCATCTCATTCCATCCCCATCCCCATCCCCATCCCATCTCATCCCATTCCCATCCCCAACTCCACTCTCATCCCATCTCATCCCATTCCCATTCCATTCCTGTCCCACCCCCTCCCCATCTCCACCCCATCCCCAAATCCCACTCCCAGCTCATTCCTTCCCCCCATCCCCATCCATTTCCCCCATCTCCAACCCAACCCCCCATCTCCCGTCCCTTTCCCCCATTACCATCTCCAACCCCTTTACTCCGTTTCCACCCCTTTCCCCCACATTCCCCTCCCATCCCTTTTCTTGACCCCCATCCCTTCCCTTCAATCCTCACCTCCAAACCTTTCCCTCCATCCCCATCCCAAATTTCCTTTCCCCATCCCCAGCTCCCATCCCTTTCACCCACCCCCGATCCCCAGCTCCCATCCCTTCCCAATCCCGATTCCCTCCATCCCCACCTTCTAAACCCCATTCCCAATCCCTTTGTTCCATCCTCCTTTCCATTCCCTACCCATCCCATCCCACCCCCAATTCCCATCCCCACCCCACCCCACTCCTCCACCTCCATCCTCCTCTCCCACCCCGTAATCCCCAGCTTCACCCCAATCCCAATCCCCATCTCCCATCCTCAATCCCTATTTTCTCCATCTCCCAATCCCCATC